CACAAACTTTAATAGCAACTGCTTGGGAGAAACAGTGGCTTTTCTATTCAAGGAGCACTGAGGGAGTCAACTGATTTCATGACTCATTATAATCTACCTGATTACTCATTATAATCTGCCTGATTGCTGCTAATCTCTCTTCACTTCAAAGAAGTTAACCACCTTGTCTCCTTTTTAATGGTCTTGATGCTTCACTATTCAAGTTACTTTCTGCAGTGCGGCTGTCTGTTCATCATCCCTGGTAATGTCCTCTTCTGCTTCATAGCCCTGCAGACTTTTAATAGCTCTAGCTAGAAACCTTAATTCAGGTGTGGTAATATTAACTCAGGCACAGAAATGACTAACACTAAAGTAATGGAAACACTATCAAGGCACTCAAGAAAACTAGATTTTTGTTTTATGACCCTGAATAAGAGACGTACATTTAGCCATCATGAAACCATATCTTTTGACTATTTTTTGCATAATTTGTGTTTTATAAAATGTAATAGATAACTTAAGAAATGAGTATACCTTCCAATAAAATTATATTTGTTTTTGCTTTGATCTTAAACTGAATGATGTAGAATTAGGCCCCTAACATATTAGTAGGGGTGTACTAAAATTGTGATTTGGCATTTTTTTTGGAAAATGCAAAATCAGGCATTTTCTGTGAAAAATCAGAGAAATCCTTGAAAAAAAGGAGCCCTGCAAAGAAGTGGGGAAAAGTAGAGCTCAGTGTAAAAATAAAAACGTTTTTCTTTTTTCCTGCCCTGGGCAGCAGCCGCTGCCCCTGGCTGCTCTCATGCAGCCTCTCAGTCCTGCAGCCTGGGCAGGCAGGGACAGGTCCAGCCCTTTTTTTTTCCTTTTTTCTCTGAAGCCTGGCCCAGCTGGGCCTATCCCAGCATGTGGGTGCTGCAGGGGGTAGGAGCCAGGGCCACAGGGAACAGAGCCAGAGCGGGGTGCTGGAGGGCAGCACCACCTGGCTGGGGCAGGGGGGCAGTGGCAACCTGTCCCTCCCACATGGGGTCAGGGAGGGGTGGGGGGG